TATATATATATATATAGGCTCTTTAGTCTCTTCTAGAAGAATTTATATCGAGCTACAGATCGCAATAAAGGTACGTTGGATCATTTTGACACTTGTGTCAATATCAATGAAAAATAGACGACAAGTACACAATTGTGCTTATAATTTGGCTGTTATAAAAGCGATACTCGCATAGGATACTTTTCATTTTTACGACGTTTAAATGATCGTCTTTTGTTTAAAAAAAAATAAATTTCTTTTAACGCGCGCAACATAACTTAAAAATTGCGACAATGACCGAACAATGACAATAATGTATTCTAAAAGTTCAATTCGCAATTCGCGTGTAGTATAATATTTTCAAACATTATTTTTATTAAACTTAGCTTTAAGTTATAGCTTCAAGTTAAAATAGATTGTAAATATATAGCTGTATCGAAAAAGAAAAGTAAAGCGGCAGACGGTATAGACTGCATAATGCATCGAGTTGTTTTAAACATGTTTATCTTCTTTTTCGCATTTCCTTTGCACTTGGAAAGTCATGCTTGCAAACTAAATTATAAATTGCTTAATGGATAGCCCAAACATTTCTTTTCTATAATTTAATGTTAAAGTAATTGCATTGCAGTTACGTACGATACGCGTCAGTTTTTGTAACATTAACACGAGAAATTTAAACAACGGTATTTTTATTTTTTCACGCGTATCAGTTTCGCGCGTTTTTCTTTCTATTTCTTTCTATATTTACGTATTCACGATTGTAAACGCACGCACGCACGCACGCACGCACGCACGCACGCACATTGTACACGCGACAATCGATTGTGCCAAAGAATTTGTATTCAATTTATATACATGAGCTTCGTTCATCAAGTTTTTAGCGCGTATAAGTAATATTGTATATCCTATATATGTATACGGTAGACATACGCACACACGAGCAGCGAAAAGAAACAACGTGGAGACGATAATGCGTTAGTTTATCGAATGTTTAGACTATACGTAATATACCTAGGTGAGATAACGAAGCGATCACATATGCACGTGCGCCACGTGCAACGTGCAACTTATTGCGATAACCTTGCATCAGTGCGTCAGGTAATCGTCGCGCTTTTAATTATTATCGTCCTATATATTATCATCCGCAAGTAGGTACGATATAGGCACCGACGTCTCGTCAGTGGTATAAGTAATTTATACTTACTGCCGAAATCGAATTCGAATCGATCGATGCACTTGAAACACTATGGCATGCAAGTTGATATCTGTGACACAGTGTTCATCGATAACGATAATTTTCTGCTATTTGTTCGGTAATACATACTATATATCCCAACAATTTACAGACGTATACTATATATATGTATATGCAATGCACATACATACATATTTTTGTACATATACGTTATATACAAGAGATATACAGAGTGCAAAAAGTATTCGTACAAAGAAATTTTTTATAAAAAAAGTCTTATTTGTAAAAAATAAACAATAATCAGCAATTTGATACAATAAAATACATTCGATCTGTTCTTACATAAACAAACGAGCTTCGCAATGCATACCTAATGATTTCAAAAGCTAAATTGCTCGACTGTACAAATACTTTTTCAACATCCAAACAATACAATTTTTAATTTTCGCTTATTTTTCAGATGATATATTTTCTATAATTAATACACATTTTTTTGGTATGTATAATTTTAAGAAACGTATACAGTCTATTTTATTCTTTATGAATAAATTGTTAATTACCCAGGAAGAAATGATCGTCAACTATAAAACGACGAATCGACGTCAAATTGGTGTTGAAATCATTGTATCGATATCGATTTAACATCAATTCGATGACTCATTTCTCGCTGGATAATATTTATTTTTTAAAAATAAAGTTTTTTTTAAAAATATTTCCTCTGTACAAATACTTTTTGCACTCACTGTATGTTATACGTCGAGAATACAATTAATTTCAATTCGAGTATCGACAATATAAGGGCTGCGCTCTTATTATACAATGAGTTGACGATAATCGCATAGAGATATATAATGTATGTACATACACACAATGTATAAGCATGTATGTAGCGCAACGACACAGACACATTTGCAATTAATTGCCTTATATTACAATTTTCTAATATTTACCAGTACTGACAAAATTTTGTTACGCTCGTTACGCTCGCATAATTAATTTGCAGGATTGGATAGTGCTAAATTCAAAAGATAAAAGTTAAGTTAAAAAGTTAATTAATTTTAACTTAACTTAGTTACATTTTAGATTCTTAACTTTTTAACTTAATTTAGTTATGTTTTATTGGTAACTATTAACTTTTAATTTGATTTTTCTTAAGTTAATCCTCAGACACAATGCGAGAGAATAATGAGTATATAATTTAGTAATATTATTGTATAATCGTTACTTGTGAAAAAAATAACCAGATTCTTTAATAAATATGCTGTGAGAAAGGAAAACTACGAAAAATTATGTAAAATGGTCAAACTTTTTCTTTTTCTTTTTTTTTTTGGTTGTTCGTTCGGACTAAATTTAACTTTTAACTTTTCAATTACTTTTTTTATTAACTTAACTTTTAATTCAATTAATTTCATTATGGATTAACTTGTATTTTAATTAAGTTAAATTTTCAAGGCTGTTAACTTTAATTTAACTTAGTTTAAAAAAAAGTTAACTTACCTAACTCTGTTAATTTGTCGTTTCAGGAATCGTGCCGAAATCATTGTTTGCAACCTATTGGCGAGTTTGAGCGTAAGTTACTTATAAATCGTGCAACGGAATTGCAAAACGTAAAAAAACGCCTTGCATGAATGTTATATGTATATATATATTACAATTATTTTACGATAGCTTATCCAAGAACAAATGAGAAAGCTGACGCAAATGTTACTTTACACTGCAGAGGAATGAACGCCTTAATAATTAAACATCATCCTCCTGGAAGCTATATTATTCAACAAAGCGTTTCCGTCGACACTTGGGGTACAGCCATAGTGGTAAATGCTTTTAATTTTAACTGTTTAGCCATAATTGTTACCATAATTTAAGCGTCACAAGTTTTTTCTTGACATGATTGAAAATCGGCGAAAGAAATAGAAAGCTATTAGAGAGAATGTAATAATTTTTAAAGGTTTAGTTTAGGTGTATCACATATATGTCGACCGGGATATTTCATCGTGAAAGAGTTCGAGCAAGAAAAACGACATACCATAAATGTGGATGACTAATTGGGACAGCATGTATTTTTGTTAAATTCAATCATGGAATCCATCTATGAGTCTCTAAAGGAAGTTTAAAACTTAAACTTAACTTCCCAGAGAGTACAAAATCATTTAAAAGATGACTAAAAGATGACTAAATTGTTATAAAGATTATTTCTTTTAGTGAAAGAATATAATCAACGAAAAGATGACTAAAAGACATCGCACTGCTAGTCATCTTATAGCCTTATCCATATGATAACTAAAAGATGACTTCTTTGAATATCTTTTAGTCCTCTTTAAGACTTCTTTTAGTTTTTATATTTTAGTACATATAACGTTTAATAACATTGAATTCCTATAAATTAATTTTTACACAAAACGAAATGAAATTGCATAACTGACAATATATTATACATCCCATTTCTGGGTCTTGCAATGTTTGCCGTGTCCTATATGTGCAAGAACCACTCTTTCATCATAGTCCCCCTTCGGGAACTCGATTTAAAAAAAATATTTTATTAGTGTTCATGAGAGAGAGAGAGAGAGAGAGAGAGAGAGAGAACACGAGTAAAATTTCTCATAATGCTGCGCACCTTTTATTCTATCTTGTATGATTTTCAAACACGAGAAACTGAACTCCACTACGTCCGTCTGTTGGCGATTCCGCGTACTGCTCGCGAATGAGTGATAAAAAGTACCAAAATACCGGAAAGATATCTTTTTCATGTTGTCTTTTCGGCAATACGAAAAGATATCTTTTAGTTGACTTTTTACTTTGCAAAAATGACAACCATAGAAAGATGACGAAAAGATGTCTTTTTTAAGTTATCTTTTTGACAAAACTAAAAGATGTCTTATAGACATCTTTTCGTCTTCCTGAAAAGACAATCTAAAAACGATGTTTTTTCGTCATCTTTTAGACATCTTTTCGCTTTGTCGAAAAGACAACTTATAAAAGACCTCTTTTCGTTATATTTTAGTATTTTGTGCTGTCTGGGTTAACTTCCTTTAAAGACTCATGGATGGATTCCATGATTAAATTTAACAAAAATATATGCTGTCCTAAGTCACCTGCACTTGTCCCAAATCATCCACATTTAATGTATATTGATGGCGTTCATATATTGTATATTCGTTCATATTTCTTTACGTTCGCACTTTTCACACAATAGAATCAAAGAAAAATCTGTTTTTCGAACAAGAATACATTTCTTTAACTCTCATATTCTGCATATGCAGGGTGTTAGTTAAGTATGTTGCCATACTCAACAGAGCGATTCTTTGGTTTATTTCAAGTAAAAAAATCCATATAAACATGTGTCCTAAATGGTTTCCGAAATACAGGTGAATGTTTACAAATGTTTGACGAAACGATAAATTGCGTTGGAGATATCTTCCTGCATAAATATGCTTTGCTTCACGTGAGTTACCATTCGCACAACCGTAAACAAAGTGACAAAGTCAAAGTCAAGGTCACAAATCAAAAATAGACTTCAGTTCTGATCTATGAGCGTGTACGTCAATCTTTGAGAAGAAGGCTCGATGGCGCAAGGTGGACATTTTCAACAATTCATCTAATTGTTTTATTTCATCAGAAGAACTGAAGCCTGTTTTTTTTGTTTTTTTTTCTGTTTTTGACTAGTTTTTGACTAATTCAAGCTGTATTTTTTTCAAATGAACAGATTATTATTACACGTTTAAATTTTTTTATTTCGAAAACTAAGCTGTTTAGGACACATGTTTATATGGACTTTTTTACTTGAAATAAATCAAAGAATCGCTCTGTTGAGTATAACAACATACTTAACTAACACCCTGTATAGGTATATGTCTTGTCAATCGATCAATTAGACAATCGAGAGACAATTTCTCTCGATTACATTATTTAAAATAAACGTTTATGAGTTTTTTGCCTATCTTTACAAGGTAGATTTCTTCCATAGAGCAATGGCGGATTGTCGACCTTTTCAAATTTAACACCAGATACACTTTATCGTTATCGTTTACACAGAATAACACAGAGCGGCTTCTCATTAGCCGAGACGTCAGATTGGTTTTCAACTTACGCAGGTAAGTCGAATTGAAATCTTTTACTTCGGGAGCTCTCAACATTGCCGCATATGGTCGCACAAAGATTAACACAATCGTGTAAAAATTAGATGCTATACAGGGTGTAACTGAAATAACGCCCACTAATTATATAGTGCTATTCCTAATAAAAAACTAAGTCGAAAAGTCCTCTACCATTTTGCAATTTTCGCAATAGTTAACGAAATATTAATTTCTAAATATTGCCGAATAAACGGATAAAATCGATATGAGACAATTTTAAGATATCTCTCCATGTTCTTTGTGAAATATTTTGAAGATTTTTCTTAAAGAACCCTTAAAGATATCTTAAAGCTGTCTTATACGTTGATTTTAGACATTTTGCTTATTGGGTAACTAAAAAAAAATATTGCGAAAATTGTAAAATGGTAGAGGACTTTTCGTCTGAGTTTTTTTATTAGGAATAGCACTATATAATTAGTGGGCGTTATTTCAGTTACGCCCTGTATATTCGAAATAATATTATAAGCTTGCTTTTCCTATATCATTTTATCTATCATCAAGAATTAATTAAGATTAATATTTGCAGTTGATTACCAACCAAACCAAGTTGAACACATTTCAGTTGTAAAAATTGAAAAAGAAAGTGATAATGTGTGCGAATTACGAACTGAAATTGTTTTTCAACCTGTTGAAGGTAACATTAGACTTGTTCTTTTTGGCTGAACTTTTGCACCAGTTCATCTTTCTTCCTTTTCTCTCAGGAGGAAAGAAGAAGAAGAAAGATGAACTGGTGCAAAAGTTCAGCCAAAAAGAGCAGTCCTATTTTTATATTATTATTAGGGGTGTCCAGGAAAGAGACGAACAACGCTTAAGGGGAGATTCTTGAGATCATTTTGAGACGAAAATTCTAATACCAAAATGTTGAGGCTATAATAACTTTTGAATTATAAGCGTTTAAAATTAACGAATCATATCGTCTAAAGTTGGCGCGCTCAGGAACGGCACAAGGCAAAGTACTAAACGCGAAAATTTATCACTTCTTTTGTCAATATTGATTTTAGGAGATTACATATATGAATATAAGATTTTATTCTATTGATATTTCTACAAATGCATTGTTCAAATACACTTTAAACATTTTATTAAAATAATTCGGAGAAACTAGGAACTTGTATGAATATTATAAAGTCATTAATTATGAATAATTGTAATTATTTGTACAACTTTATGATAATTAATTAACCTTATGATAATTAATTTACAAAATAAATTATGTATAATATTATAATAAATGTTCGAATTGTATTCCATTCACATCTATGCATAATCTTGCGCGTCTCAATAAACTTTGTTGCGCATTGATTAACATATCGGGTGATATGCTTACAACTGCTTCAACAATGCGATTGTGTAAGTCCTCCCGATTGTGTAATGGCTCCCAATAAATATAATTTTTTAAATATGTCTCCAGAGAAAAAAATCCATTGGAGTTAAGTCGGGTGATCTCGCTGGCCAGTATTGCGGTCCATTGCGTCCTATCCATCTATTCGGATAAATTGTATCTAAAAAACGACAAACATTTCTGGATGTACGTATGCGTAGGTCCACCATCATGTTGAAAAATCATATTCCTTCTAAGATGCAATGAAACGTTCTCTAACAGAATCGATAAATCATCTTCCAAAAAATTTTTATAAATTTCACCATTTACCCTGGGAGACAATTCAAATGGACCAATCTGTATAATAAAATAAGACATTATAATTAAAAAATAAGACAAAATAAAAAAATTTAATTTTGATTATTATTATTATATTGTATTTAAAATATTTAGAAATTATTAATTATTATTAATTCTACGAAAAAACGGTACACGCGCATAATGTTGACAAAAACTACAAAATATCCTATTATTGTGTTATCTCTAAAATTCCAGCCCATAAATTAATTTTAAATCTGTGTTGGAAGTTGTGAATCATGTACTCGTGAGGATTATCCTGAGACCATACATGATAATTATGAACATTAAAAAGACCCTCACGAGTAAATAAGCATTCATTGATGAACATTACAGTTCACATTATTCCGGGCTGTTGCTCTTCTTGTTGCAGCATCCACTTACAAAAATTTCTTCTTTGTGCATAATCCTGCGGCATCAAATGTACTTTTGTATAGTGATATGTATGTAATTGGTTTTCCTTTAATATATTGTGAACTGTTGATTTCGTCATTCCAAGTGTACGACTAATTTGACGAATACTCGTTGAAGAGTCTTCCTCTATAGCGGATGTACTGCCTCTTCATTACATACATTATGAACATAAAAATGACGACCCACGACATTTCTCCTTATTGATGCAAATAATCCTGACGTATGGGCTCTATTTATCAGATTAAGAAAAACACTCGGTCTTGGAGCTCTACGATTCGAAAATTGTTCTACATACCATATCTGCGCGCAGCTTCGTGTGCATTCTGATTACTTGCGCCATAAATGAGGAACATATCGCAATATTCTTGGTTAGTATAATCCATGTTGTATTCACTAAACAAAAAAAATAAATATTCAATGATATTTCTTATTACTTAATATGGCGAAGAGGCTAATTTCACGCGTAAAGAAAGTTGTAAAGTTGTGCGCAGATATGCAAAACAATTTCCGATAAGTCAGCTTTCGCGTTTAGTACTTTGCGTTGTACCGCTCCTGAGCACCAACTTTAGACGATATGATTCGTTAATTTTAAACGCTTATAATTCAAAAGTTATTATAGCCTCAACATTTTGGTATTAGAATTTTCGTCTCAAAATGATCTCAAGAATTTTTCCTTAAGTGTTGTTCGTTTCTTTCCTGGACACCCTGTATACAGCATTGTGTTTATATTTTTTCAGACCAGAGCTGTAACTATAATATATTATCTTGGTCAGGGGAACATGATTTAGTCAATTTTTATTTAAAAAAGGTAAGAGAGAGAGAGAGAGAGAAAGAGAGAGAGAGAGAGAGATAGAGAGAGAGAGAGAGAGAGAGGAAAAGAGAGAGAATTTACATTAGTTTAAATTTATCTCAATTTTGTCAATAAAATTATTTATAATACTATTCAGTTATTAATTAATTGTTACATTCACATGTTTCTTCAGTCTTTAGATTTTCGCTTTTCTCTTAGACGCTTACGATACGATCAGAATATTACTATATCGATCCGATCGAGTAACGATGACTTTTCTAAAGCCAGTAATGCAACAATGTTTACTTTTATCACACCATCATGTCTACAAATTCATCATAATTTAAGCATCTGCGGTAAGTCAATAAAATAATCTCGAAGAAAAATCAACTCATTTTGAATTTTGTCGAGTACATTTTGAACTTTTTCTTCAAAGCTAAATTGATTTAAGTGTATAATAATGTCTTTTTCGATTTTTATAGCACCTGAAAAGGTAAAAGGTTTGCAGATGGAATACATTCGAAAGCAAAGTGAAGAATTATATGACATTGCAGTTAATTGGAATAAACCTTTTCTACAACCGGATAATTACACATTACAATTTAACTCGCTTCAATTTGAATCACGTTTACTAGTTGTACCTGGGGTCAGTATTATCATAATAAATAAGTAACGATTTCTTTAATTAAAAACGTTTCTTATTAAAAAAAACACAAGTTTTGCTTTTCCTACAGGATGCAGTCAAAGCTCTTTTCTCAAATGTCGATGTAAGACTGCGGTATGAGATCAATATTGTGGCAGAATCAATGGGTGGTGTAAGTTTACCATCGATTATATCCGGGAGTATCGACGAAACTTCAGGTAGGCATGTAAACATAATAATCATTTTAATCGTCACATGAATAAAATTGGTATTCAGATGAGACATGTACGATATAATAGTTGCAGAGCTATCTTATCGCGAGATTATCGTAGCATTATCAACACTAGTGATTGTTATCGGGGTATTTGGAATAATTTATATGCAACATCGTAACAAGAGAGAAAAAAAGAGAGATAAGCGAACTAATATGAAATATATACATTTTGAGGTAAGCTCATTAATAAACTAGTGCTATATATTTATATGATGGCCAATTGTAAGATATATAATATAATATATAGTTGACTTATAATCTAGAAAATTGATTATACACACTTGTCGTATAATCAATTTTCAATCTCAAATATATAGTAAGTCGGCCTCGTTTCTTTTTGAATGAAACGTCGAATGTATACGACATAATAGACATCTTCTTATTTTGATCGTGTTTGCGATCGCATTTGACTAATACACCACGTTTCTACTAACAACTCAGATAGCATTTATACGGCACAGTAACCGTACGTTGCGGAGTCGTGAAGCTCTGAAAAGTTACACTGTGCACGCATGTTACACTCATGTGAGCAGTTAGACCATGTGTTGAAATTCATGAAGTCACATGAAACAAATCATGTAAACAGCACACGTTAACCGCATATTGCCAGCACGACGTTAACTTTATAGCTGACACACAATTACGTTGTAGCAACATGTTGACTGCACAATGAATAATACAAATTCTGTCTTTTTGGAACAGCACGCTAAGTACATAATCCTGTTACGGCGTGTAAAATTTTTATTGGTTTTCATTCTTAGAGTCCAATTATGGGAACTCATCTCATCATTATTGGCTGCGTTCAAGACTCAGGTGTTGAGTCTGCTGAACGCAGACATTTTATCAAAAAAAGGAATAAAATTTTTGACTGAGAAGTCTCATCATACTGCACCTTTTATCCTACTCGATGTGGTTTTTTAAATACGAGAAATTGAACTTCGCTGTGTCCCTCTAGTGGCAATGTTGCGCACTGCTTGAAAATTGGACGTAGAATATTTTTCTGCACGAAACTAGTCACGCGTAACAGCACCGTGCGTTTTTAAAATTACAGTACGCAATTTTGGTTTAATGCTAGCACTGTCAGATAATTTGAAGTGACAGTAACTAAAATCTGATAACATTAATTTGCACAATACCAGTACGATATCTAAACTATTGAAAATCACAGCCTGTTCAGCTGTGACTTTTGCACGTTTGGCTATCTGGGAAGTTAATAATTTTATGCTAGAAGATTTATACAGCTTATTTGTTGCTAATGATAATTCTTTCATTGGATATTATTGTGAAATTTGTTTTATTATCGAAATAATTTTCCCATTATCTCAAATTCAAAGCAATTATATAAAACGGATTTTAGTATTTTACTAATTTTTCGCTTACAGGGTTCTATGGATTCCCTAAAGAAACTTTTAAATCGGGATTATGCGGTAGAGAATAGCGACACTCTTTTGCCTCATGATAAATTTCAACTTGCTCCACAACGGCTAAAACTTAAAGGTATATTAGGTAGTGGAGCATACGGTATCGTTAGACTTGCTTCGTTGCAAGATGAATTTGGCGCTATCGTAGATGTAGCTGTTAAAATGATGAAAGGTATATTGATAAAATAACACCAAATAAAAAATTTATACTCAAGAGAAAAACTATATTCAAATGAGTATACATATAGTAATCGTACTAGAGAAGAGCATTAAAATATATAGATGAACAATTTTATTCCATTATACATGCAGATAATCCAACAGTAGACGATATAAAAAATTTTTATCGAGAGATTTCAATGATGAAGTCCGCTGGTCAACATCCAAACATAGTGTCTTTAATTGGATATTGTACTTTGTATAATAAACCTTTATTAGTAGTGGAATATTGTAGCAAAGGTGATTTACGAACATATTTAAGAACGGTGAGCTACATCAAAGAGTACATTACATACAATATATGTATGTATATGATGTTATGTGTATGTAACTTGAAAAATGCATTAGTTTTGTTTCAAGTGGTAAATGACATACTTTAATTGTTATTTATAATACATATGTGTATAAAGCAACCATTGCATTAAATTTTGTTTTTAGATTTGGCAGAATATAGTAAACGCCGTATTCGAATGTAGTACTCACTTAGAATCTAATATGTCTTTTGCCAATAAGAACACAGATCAAGGTAAATATTGCACGCACGCACGCGCGCACGCACGTGTACATATGTTATCTCATTTTATATATACAGTACTGGACAAAATAAAGTACGCACTCCAAACAGTTTCACATTTATGTAAATAACTCGCCAGTCCTGGCAGATAGCATAATGATAAATGAGGTAAAAGAAAGGTATTTTAGTCTACTTTGCAATAATGATTACAAAAATTTCAAAAACAATTCGAAATCTTTTAATAATCAAGTCCGTTACATTTATTATCAAATTTATCATGGACAAAATAAAGTACGCACAACATTGTTTATGAAAATAATAACAACTGGCGCTGTTGATGATGAAAGATACATAAATATAACAATGAAGGATATATAAACAAATGAATAAAGCAGGTTTGTCAGTTAATAATATTGCTAGATAAAGTATAGTAAGAATTCTTCATCAGTGAACATGGAAACCAAGCAAATTTGTTTACAAATTCGAAAACTGATACTTCAAGATTGTCAGAAGGGGCTTTCTAATAGAAAAATGGGTCGCAAGTACAATGTAAGTGAAGGCGCAGTCCGAAAGATATGGAAAAAATTCCAGGAGCTTGACACAGTAGCGGATAAGACAGGACGTGGACGGAAGAAAAAGACAAATCCAATCGAAGACCGCAAACTCATACGGGAAGTAAAGAAAAATTCAACTGTTACTAGTCGTGTTATTCGAGAAAACTACATTTAAATATTTCCTACAATTAAATATTTCCGAACGAACGGTGCGGAGGAGACTTCGAGAAGTTGGACTTAGAAACAGTTTTGCAGTGCGTCGTCCTTTGATTCGGAAGGTCAATAAAATCAAACGTCTGGAATTTGCAGAAAAATACGTTAACAAGTCAGTGGATTTTTGAAAAAAGGTCCTTTGGAGTGACGAAAGCAAATTTGAACTTTTCGGTCATAAACAGCGACCACGGATCTGATCAAAGCCTAGCGAAAAACTTATCAACAAAAATATCCAAAAAACACTCAAACATGGAGGAGGCAGCATAACAGTGTGGGGATGTTTTGCGTGGTCTGGTTTAGGAAATCTAGTCAAAATCGACCATATAATGACAGCAGATGTATACATTGATATTCTCAATGAAAATTTAGAAGAATCTCTGCTAAAGGTTGGTCTCGAGAACAACTTCATTTTTCAACAAGATAACGATCCCAAACATATCGCTCGTAAAACTACC